AATAGAATAGAATAATAGAATAGAATAGAATAATAGAATAGAATAGAATAGAATAGAATAGAATATATGGAATGAAATAATTAGAATAGAATAGAATAGAATCAGAACAGGAATAGAATAGAATAGAATTGGAAGGGACCTTGGAGGTCATCTAGCCCAGCCCCCTGCTCAAGCAGGAGACCCTACCATTCCAGACAAAGGGCTGTCCAGTCTCTTCTTTAAAACCTCCAGGGCTTCTGTGCTTCTGTCAAATATCTGAACGTTTTTCCTGGGCTGATAAAATCTCTTTTCTTTCTTAGCAAAATTTCTGTCCCAGGCATTTGAGTGGAATAGAATAGAATGAATAGAATAGAATAGAAAATGTGGAATAGAATAGAATAGAAAATGTAGAATAGAATAGAATAGAATAGAATAGAATAGAATAGAATAGAATAGAATAGAACTGGAAGGGACCTTGGAGGTCTTCTAGTCCAGCCCCTGCTCAAGCAGGAAACCCTGTTGTATTTCAGGGAGTTGAAGTCCACCCCTCTGGAAGGGGCCAACCTTGAGAATTGCTGTATCTCCGCACCAACGTAGAAGAATAAACTCTAATGCTACAGGCCTTGATAGCGTCTTGCTTGCTCTGGTTCCTCAGAGCTCCATTTGCGTCTCAGCCGAGCGACTCCGTTTTCTTTCCTTCCCTTTCAGGGCCAAATCTGAAATTTCAGAATCGACACAGAAATAGCGGGAAGCAAAATCCTTTGGCAGGTTGGCAATGCGCAAGCCCATTTGGGTCTTGGGAAACGCTCCTTCCAAGGTTTAGCCCGTCAAGGTTACCAATTCCGTGGGACTGTCTCCAAGTCGAGGCCGGAGGCACAGGAAGAGAATTGGAGGCCAAAGAAGAAGAGAAAAGATAAGGAGGAGATGGATGGGAGAGGAAGAGGAGGGATTTAGGAATTAATCTGTAAGCTTGGTGGAAGAAGGACCTTTAGACTGGGAGGTGGGGAAGGGAAAGGAGAAGAGGAGAGACGTAAAATACTGCAGCATTATTATTTATCCCTTTTATTATTATTTTTTTTACTTCTGCCTTTTATTGGCTTTTTCTTCCTCCTCTTCCTCTTTTCTTCCTCCCTTCTTTTTCCTCTTCCCTCTCTTCCTCTTCCTTCTTCATCCTCTTCTTCCTCCACCTCTTCTTCTCCTCCTCCTCCTCCTTCATCTTCTTCCTCCACCTTCTTCTCCTCCTCTTACCCCCTCCTCCTCCCTGCTCCCCTCCATCCGCCTCCTTCTTTATCCTCTTCTTCCTCCACCTCTTCTTCTCTCCTCCTCCTCCTCCTTTGACCCCTCCTCCACCTCCATCTTCTTCCTCCACCTCTTCTCCTCCTCCTCCTCCTCCCTTCACCCCTCCTCCTCTTACTCTTACCCCCTCCATCCGCCTCCTTCTTCATCCTCTTCTTCCTCCACCTCTTCTTCTCTCCTCCTCCTTTGACCCCTCCTCCACCTCCATCTTCTTCCTCCACCTCTTCTCCTCCTCCTCCTCCTCCCTTCACCCCCTCCTCCTCTTCCTCTTACCCCCTCCTCCTCCTTGCTCCCCTCCATCTGCCTCCTTCTTCATCCTCTTCTTCCTCCACCTCTTCTTCTCCTCCTCCTCCTCCTCCTTTGACTCTTCCTCCACCTCCATCTTCTTCCTCCACCTTCTTCTCCTCCCTTCACCCCCTCCTCTTCCTCTTACCCCTCCTCCTCCCTTCACCCCCTCCTCCTCCTTTCTTCATCCTTCCTCCACCACCTTCCTTCCTCCATCCTCCTCCTCTTCTGTTGCTTTGCAGGCACACTGCAGTGCTTCTGTACCAGAGATAAATCCCTTGTGTATCTAACCACACTTGGCCAACTAGTGTAAGGTATAAAAGAAAAGAAAAAAAAAAAGAGCAAGCTGCAGAAAAGAAACGAAAAAAGAATAAAAGATAAAGGGGTTGGATTAAAATAAGCACGAATCAGGACCCCTTTGCCCCAAGGCTTAACGTTCTTCCTGGCTACCCCCCCCCCCTTTTTTTTTGTTTACAGGAAAAGAAATGCAGACAGCAAAAGTTTCAGGTATATTTTTAGAAGGGGGAACAAGAACCGAAAATGAACGAGAATCATTTTCAGAAAAAAGGAGCTGTCTCAGCAGAAAACTGAAACAACAACAACAACAACAACTGTGTGTCTTTTGTTTCTGAGGTGTCAAAAATTTGTACAGCAGTAAGGGTGGTTGGCTTGGATCCTCCTATTGGTAATCAATCCCTAAGGCAGGACTAGAACTCACCGTCTCCCGGGGATTGGGCCCAAATTCACCCAGTCGGCTTTCATGCCTGAGGCAGGACTAGAACACAGCGTCGCCCACTTTCTAGCTTTCTAGCTTAACCACTACACCAAACTGGCTCTTTCTTTATGATGGGTTGCAAAGCCACTCAAGGCTCTGGAACGTTCCAAGCAACACACCAGGCACAAGGGGAACTGGTGTTGAGCAAAACACAATGATTAATAAGGTTGCTCCCGAGTGGATCCATCAAAAGCAAGAAAACAAAAATAAACACTCTGAACTCAGAAAATATTTTTAGCCCAGGGTTGAACTGGGCGGGGGGGGGGGTTCTTGATAGTCTCTGAGCTGGGTTGTTTTCTTGCAGACGTTTCATGACCCAACTAGGGAATGTCATCAATGCTAGAAAGGAGTGGGGCTTGCTCTCTGCAAAGCACTGATGAAGCTACCTAGGTGGGTCATGAAACATCTGCAGGAAAAGCACCATGCTCAGAGAGCACCAAGGATCCCACAGTCCTTGTCCTCCTCCTCCTCCCCCTCCTCCCTGCATACCCCACTCCCTTCTAGCACTGATGATGTTACCTAATTGGGTCATGCAACGTCTGCAAGAAAACCACCCAGCTCAGAGAGCACCAAGGACCCCATAGTCCTCCTCCTCCTCCTCCTCCTCCTCCTCCTCCTCCTCCTCCTCCTCCTCCAAACCTCACTGCCTTCTAGCACTGATGATGTTCCCTAGTTGGGTCATGAAACGTCTGCAAGGAAAGCGCCAAGCTCAGACAGTACCCAAGACTGCAGCCATTCTTCTTCTCCTTCTCCTTCTCCTTCTCCTTCTCCTCCTCCTCCTTCTCCTCCTCCTCCTCCTCCTCCTCTTCCTCCTCTTCTCTGAAAACCCCACTCCCTTCTAGCACTGATGATGTTACCTAGTTGGGTCATGAAACGTCTGCAAGAAAACCACCCAGCTCAGAGAGCACCAAGGACCCCCACAGTCATCGTTGTCCTCCTCCCCCTCCTCCTCCTCCTTTCTGCCTTCCTCATTCCCTTCTAGCACTGATGACGTTACCTAGTTGGGTCATGAAACATCTGCAAGAAAACCACCAGCTCAGAGAGCACGCAGGACCTCTCGGAGACCCTGTGTTGAAACTGCATTGCCCTGTGCACCTGTCAAATACAGAACCACAACTTTCCGCTAACTCGCTCTCGGTCTAACCGACTTCCTCTTGAAGTCCTGCCACTAATCCAGAATCAAGACTATGCTGGGTTTCTGTCTACTAAGAAGACAGTGTTGTGACCTTGCAGACTCCAGCTATGCTTAGATGCGCTCTGCCAAAATTATACCACCTGCATTTCCTTCCCGTCTTGCAAAAATATCTCTTGATTCCGCTTAGTTAGGCTTAATTCCCGTTGCAGATCTCCCTCGGTGGTCTGGGTTCAAATCCAGATAGCTGCTCCACCCACCCTTCTCCTGGCCCCAATCCTCTCTCCAGCTCACCAGCGTGGTGGGACTTGCAGATCAATCCCTCTCCTTCATTTTATTTCTTCACTATATGTTGAGATGGATGGCCAACAAATTTAAAAAATAAAATAACATCTGTTTAACACTAATCAAGCCTTGGGTCAACTGATAGGGAGATAGCCAGCATATAGGTTTAAAAAATAAGAACATAAATAAATGCATCTATCTATCTATCTATCTATCTATCTATCTATCTATCTATCTATCTATCTATCTATCTATCTATCCATCTATATCTCGTCTGTGTCTACCATCTCTCTCTCTCTCCATCTATCCATTATCTCTATCTATCTATCTATCTATCTATCTATCTATCTATCTATCTATCTATCTATCTATGTGTCTGCCATCTCTCTCTATCTATCTTCTCTCCTACCTATGTATCTATGTCTGTCCGTCTATCATCTATCTACTGTCTGTCTATCTATCTACTGTCTGTCTGTTTGCTATTTGTCTGTTTGCTATTTATCTGTCTTTCTATCTGTCTGTGTCTGTCCGTCTCTATCTGTCTGTCTATCATGCAAAGTGTGTTTTTTTTTTTAAATAAAAAAATACAACTGGGGACATTGCACATCTGGACAGTTTTTGCCCCTCCCTCCTTCAGTGTCAACACCCCCAGTGCAGAATTAGGCAAGTGGGCTTTTTCAGACCAGTCTAATTTTTTGAGGAACTGAAAGACTTCAGACAGTTCCACGTGAATGGGAAAAAGTTTCCCTATATGGGCCAAAGTTGAATATGCTCGAAAAGTTGTTTTCAACTGGCTAAAATAAGCTGGTTTGCATTTTACCCATCTCTGACATACTTCGTTCCAGAAAAGTATATATAGCAATTGGTGTCAATTGAGGGTCAGGGCAGAAAGCATGAATAAATGAATAAAGCTTTCATGCCGAATCAATTCTGTTTGGGTTTCTTCTCTTTACTTTTCACTTGCAAGTAATCTTTCCGTCAGTGTCTCTCCCAAGTTAAAATGTTTTTCAAACTTGGCCACTTTAAGAGTGTGGACTTCAACTCCCAGAATCTCCCAGCCAGCCAGGGGGAAGAGGAGCAAGAAGGAAAAAAAAAAAAAGACTATTTGTAAGTCAGGATTGAACGGTGTGGTCTTTGGTGTTCTGTGAATTGGGTGGTTTCCTGCAGACGTTTCATTACCCAACTAGGTTACGTCATCAGCGTGGAGGAGGAGGAAATAGCAGAAGAGGATTGTGGGATTGTGGAGTCCTTGGTCCTCTCTGAGCTTGGTTGTTTCCTGGCAGACGTTTCATGATCCAGCTAGGTAACATTATCAGTGTTAGAAGGGATTGAGGTTTGTGGAGAGGAGGAGGAGGAGGAGGAGGAGGAGGAGGACTGTGGGGTCCTTGGTGCTCTCTGATCCGGGTGGTTTTCTTGTAGATGTTTCATGACCCAACTAGGGAACATCATCAGAGTTGGAAGGGAGTGGGGTTTGCAAGGAGGAGGAGGAAGAGGAGGAGGAGGAGGAGGAGAAGGAGAAGAAGAAGGAGGAGGAGGAGGAGGGGGAGGAGGAGGAGGAGGGGAGGAGGAGGGGGGGGACTGTGGGGTCCTTCGTGCTCTCTGAGCTTGTTTCCTTGCAGACATTTCATGACCCAACTAGGGAACATCATCAATGTTAGAAGGGGGGGGGGTTGTTCTCTCTTTATATACAGGAGGCTTCATATACAGTGTTTGTGAGGCTGTAAACAAGCAGCAAACAACCACCCCCACCAACAACAACATTGATGGGGGGGGCAAGCCACGTCTACATAAACAGGGAACAAACCTACTTTCTGGAGGTGAACCTAGATGGCCACCCACCCATCCACCCACCCCCTTCAACCTTTTAGCCCCAGAGTTCCCAACTTCCTAAAATAACTCCTCCCCCCCCCGTTTTCCAGGTGTGTGTGTGTGTTTGTTTATGAGTGTGTGTGAAAAAGCCAAACTTCCCTCCAGTCCAAGTGTGTGTGTGTGTGTGTGTGTGTGTGTGTGTGTGAGAGAGAGAGAGACAAACTTTCCTCCAGAGTGTGTGTGTGTGTGTGTGTGTGTGTGTGTGTGTGTGTGTGTGTCACAGAGCCAAACTTCCCTCCAGTCCCGCCGACACATCTCCGGGCAAGCGCTTGGAGGCGATCGGCCGCTTTCCCTTTCTCCGGGGTATCCGGGGCTTTCCCGGTGGTCTCTTTTTCCCAGCGCCGATCAGACCGGCTCTTCGGAGTCGCGACTCCTCGTCCGGATAATGCCGGGCTGCTTTGCTCTCGGAACTCCCAGGTTGCGTGGGAACCCTTGCCCCCCCCCATCATTTATTTTCCTCCAAATCCCGCCCCCCTCCCCAGGCCCTCCCCTCCGCCCCCCCCCGGCTCCACCTGGTCCTTGCCCGGCCCTGCCCCCCGGCCGGACTCAATTGTCCTTTTGCATCGGCCGCTTCGGAGCTCCGGGCGAATCCGGCTTGAAGGCCCCGGAGGAAAGTAGCGCGCGGCTAGCCGGCCGAGCCTCCGGGGGGGGGGGAGGGAGGGAGGGGGCAGCTCCGCTCCGCGAACCGGGACTCCGACAGAGGCGCGTCGGTCGAACTCCGGTATTTCGTTCCTTCCCCATTCGGCTCGGGGAGGGGGGGGCGGCGGCGGCGGCGGGAAGGGCAAGTGAGGGCTTCTCCTGTTGAACTTCTGCCTGGCTTTGGAAAGCCTGGCCCGGGGTATAAAAGGCAACCCGTCACCTCTCCTCCGGGATTGGGGGGGGGGGGGAGGCGGATGGCGACTTTCTAGCTTGCCCCGAAGGCTGGTGGCGGAACTCTAGAATCCCCGGGCTGAAAGGGAGCTTCGAGGTCTTCTAGTCTGACCCTTGCCCAAGAAAGCTGCTTCGGCTCTTTAAGGATGGCGGGGGAGGGAGGAAGGAGAAAGAGGAAGGAAGGAAGGAAGGAAGGAAGGAAGGAATCTGGAGGGAGAGAGGAAGGAAGGAAGGGAGGAATCAGGAGGGAGAGAGGAAGGGAGGAAGGAAGGAAGGATAACAGAATAACAGAGTTGGTAGGGACCTTATAGGTCATCCAGTCCAACCCCCTGCTCAGGCAGGAAACCCTATACCATTTCGGACAAATGGCTGTCCTGTCTCTTCTTAAAAACTTCCAGTGTTGGAGCATTCACCACTTCTGGTGGCAAGGAGGTCCACTGGTTAATTGTTCTAACTGTCAGGAACTTTCTCCTTAGTTCCAGGTTGCTTCTCTCCTGGATTAGTTTCCATCCATTGTTTCTTGTCCTGCCTTCAGAGGCTTTGGAGAATAGCTTGACTCCCTCTTCTTTGGGGCAGCCCCTGAGATACTGGAAGACTGCTATCCTGTCCCCCCTCGTCCTTCTCTTCATTAAACTAGACCTCCCCAATTCCAGCAGCCTTTCCTTATATACTTTAGCCTCCAGTCCCCTGATCATCTTTGTTGCTCTCAGAGCCCTATGCAAGCCAGCCAGCCAGTCAGTCAAGGCCGGGTCTTGCAGGCTCCTGAAACATAGCAGGGCCATATAAAGTCCTGCTGCCGAGTTGTGATAAAAACTAGGTTTGTCGTTGGTTTGGGAGATACTGCATGGGACCCTACCTAGCCTTGGGCACTTTCTAGTAGGACCAGCTTTTGTTGCCTTTGCCCTCTGTGTGGTAGACTCGCAAGATTCGTTTTTCTTCCCGTGTAGGTATAGGTACATCCGAACTAGACTGTGTTGTTTCTCTGGGCCAGAAAAGTGTATGTATATGGGTATATATGCATAATTTAATAATAATAATAATAATATCAATAATAAAGTTGGAAGGGACCTTGGAGGTCATCTAGTCCAACCCCCTGCTCAGGCAGGAAACCCTATACCATTTTGGACAAATGGCTGTCCAGTCTCTTCTTAAAAACTTCCAGTGTTGGAGCACCCACAACTTCTGGAGGTAGGCTGTTCCACTGGTTGATTGTTCTCACTATCAGGAAATAATAGAATAGATGGTGTGTGTGTGTGTGTGTGTGTGTGTGTGTGTGTTTTATCCCTCCCCCTCTGTTGAGGGAGGGCTGTTCAGTTTTAACCTAGATGGCCTCTTTGACCCCACTTTCAAACCAGCTCTCGCTCCAAAATGTCGACTTTGCTGTCTTGGAAAGACTTTTGTCTTTTAAATGGGGTCGTAAAACGGGGCAAAACTCACAACAACTCTTACTTAGCAGTGGAAATTTTGGACCACTTGTGGTTGTAAGTCAAGGAAATTTTGGACTCCCCTTGGGGTTGTAAGTCAAGGACTATCTTTGTCGTCCTTTGGAAGGGGCTTCCTGAGCAGGGGGTTGGACTAGATGACCTCCAAGGTCCCTTCCAACTTTGTTATTATTATTATTATTATTATTATTATTATTATTATTATTATTATTATTATTATTATTATTATTATTATGGATCATCGCATAGTCAGCCAGCTGTTCAGACTGGATTTGGCATTTTGTCTACCTATCGAGTCCTTACCCAGGACCTGGGATAGGCAGATGTGGATGTTTGATGGTATTACAGGTATCCTTGCAGGATGGAAGCAGTTCCTAGTAAGGCCGCCTTTTGCAATTGACTAATAGCGAATTTGTCAATGCCAATGGTGTTCAAGTGGTGCTCCAGTTGTTTTGGGATTGCACCCAAGGAGCCTATGCCTATTGGTACTACCCTTGCTTGCTTTTGCCACAGTCTTTCTATTTCTATTTGTAGGTCTTTGTATTTTGTTATCTTCTCCAGTTTTTTCTCGTCTATTCTGCTGCTGCTGCTGTTGTTGTTATTATTATTATTATGATGATGATCAGATCAGCTGGGTAAATCCACTCATCTTAACATTGCTCACAATCGCTGGATGGGGAATTTTGGGAGCTGAAGTCCGCCTTATCTTTTTTATTATTGTTATTATAATAAATTTTATTACTTTTAATAGGGTTAGGGATAAAATGGGGTCGGGATTAGGATTGGGGTTTAGGTTAGGGTTGGGCTTGGTAACATTTTCAATATTTAGCAAACAACATATTGTCTGGGTACATGTATTTAACTAACGTGTATTTAGCTAACAATAACTGATATAATTAATTATCATAAACAGTATTAGTGAATCACTCAGTAGCCTTCTTCTTACAAGTCCACCTTATCTTAAGATCCAAACCACTGGGCTGGCCACTTCCACACAACCACAAGCCAATGAATGTGTGGACGCAGATGAGTTAGGTTCACCCCAGGAAGGGAGAGTAATTTATTGACTTGGGCAAAAGTGAGATGTCGTCTTTGTAAAAAAACTGGGTTTCTGCTTGAGAGACAGTTTAATATTGTTGTATTCGTCCCATGATGACTTTTTCGCCCAATCTGGGTTGTAGCAATTCACTGAAGATTGAAACTGCTCTACACAGGTAATCCTTTTTCTTCTGATTGAAAAGTTTTATACAAATTTTTAATAATATCCCCCCCTAAAATAACCCCCTCCCTCCCTCCTCCCCTCATTTCCCAGAGCTGGTTACAGGGTTACAAATAAAAAAGCAAATTCTAAATAAACTTATCCAACTATACAAATAGTAAAATCAATAATATACTTTAACTCAAATACAAAAAAGAAAAAAAAATAACAATATAAGCATTTCCAGGTAATCCTTGATTTACAACAGTTCATTTAGTGACCTTTCAAACTTACCAAGGCATTGAAACAAGCGACTTACGACCGGTTTTTTTCACACTTACGACGGTGGCAGCATCTCCGTGGTCACGTGATCCAAATTCACACGCTTGGCCACCGACTCGTATTTATGACGGTCGCAGCGTCCCAGGAGTCATGTGATCCGCTCACTTAATGAATGTCTCACTTAGCCACAGAAACCTTGGGCCCCATTCTGATCGTAAGTCGAGGACGACCTGCAATTAATTCTTTTAATGTAAATTTAATGTAAGTTAATGTAAATTAAAGAATTCTTTTTTTTTCTTTCGGTTATACTGTACTCAAGCTTTGGATTAGAAGTTATATACTGGTAGTCCTCAATTTACGGCCACAATCAGCCCCAAATTGCCATTGCTAAGTGAGATATTTGTCAAGTGAACTTTGCCCCATTTTACGACCTCTCTTGCAGCAATTGTTAAGTGGATCACTGCAGTTGTTAAGTTGTTAAGTTCCCCCATTTGACTTTGCTTGTCAGGAGGTCGCAAAAGGGGATCACGTGACATACACTCACACACACCCCCGACACTGCGACCGTCGTAAATATGAAGCAGTTGCCAAGCGTCTGAATTTTGATTATGTGACCATGCAGATGTGGCCACAGACTTGTAAGTGTGAAAAACGGTCATAAGTATCTTTTTTCAGCGCTGTTGTAACTTTGAACGGTCACTAAATAAATGGCTGTATATCAAGGACCATCTGTTTGTCTATCTATAATAGGAGAGATTACTTTGAAATGGATCACAAAGTTGATCTGGACAGCCATTTGTCTGAAATGGTATAGGGTTTCCTGCCTGAGCAGGGGGCTGGACTAGATGACCTCCAAGGTTCCCTTCCAACTTTATGATGATGATGATGATGATCGCATAGTCAGCTAGATATTCAGACTGGATTTGGCCTTTTGTCTACTTATTGAATCCTTCCCAAGGACTTAGGATAGGCAGATGTGGATGTTTGATGGTATTATTTATTATTATTATTATTATTATTATTATTATTATTATTATTATTATTATTATTATTATTATTATTATTATTATGGATCATCGCACAGTCAGCCAGATGTTCAGACTGGATTTGGCATTTTTGTCTACCTATCGAGTCCTTCCCAAGGACCTGGGATAGGCAGATGTGGATGTTTGATGGTATCACAGATCTCGTCGCAGGATGGAAGCAGTTCCTAGTAAGGCCGCCTTTTGCAATTGACTAATAGCGAATTTGTCAATGCCAATGGTGTTCAAGTGGTGCTCCAGTTGTTTTGGGATTGCACCCAAGGAGCCTATGACTATTTGTACTACCCTTGCTTGCTTTTGCCACAGTCTTTCTATTTCTATTTGTAGGTCTTTGTATTTTGTTATCTTCTCCAGTTCTTTCTCTTCTATTCTGCTATCTCCAGGCACTGCCACGTCCACTATCCAGACTTTTTTGTCTTTCTTATCGACAGTTGTTAAGTCCGGGGTGTTATGTGGCAGGTGCTTGTCTGTTTTAATAATAATAATAATTATTATTATTTTATTAGTAATAATAATAATAATAATAATTGTTATTATTATCTGGAATCTATTCCTAAGCATCTGGCCCGGGATAAAGCTTTGCAAAGATCCGCTAACTGAGTTGCGTAACTCAACACCAGGCTAAGAACCCCCAGCATTCCTGGGCAGCAAGACGCCCACCCTTAGAGAAACCCCCCAACCATAAAGGTTCTGCTCTTACATCTTTTATTGCCTTTCAGTTCTCAGGGTGATTGCCCCTCCCCGTTCCCACAATAGGAGTTAACAGGAATCTGCGATTAGCTTGGTTTTTTTTTGTTTGTTTGTTTTTCTGTTTGTCTCCATCCCAGGGAAATTGCCCTTTCGTTCTGGCAGTTTGCAATTTGCAATTCGGCTCCTCTTGCTTTGAACAATGTTTTTTTTTACTACCGTGCTTTAAAAAAAAAAAAAAAAACTATTTGTCAACTTTTCATAACTTTGTTTGCTTGAGATTGTTCTCTCTCTTTCTCTCTCTGTCTCCTCTTCCCTCCCTCTCTCTCTCTCCCTCTCTCTTTCTCTCTCTGTCTCCCTCTCTCCTTCCCCTCTCCTTCTCTCTTTCCCTCTTTCTCTGTCTCCTGTTCCCTCCTCCCCTCCCTCTCTCCCTCTCCCTCTTTCTGTCTCCTCCCTCTCTCTTCCCCTCTCTTTCTCTTTCTCTCTCTCCCTCTGTGTCTCTCTCTCCCCCTCTCTTTCTCACTCCCTTTCTCTTTCTCTCCTCTTCCCTCCCTCCTTCCCTCCCTCTCCCTCTTTGTCTCCTCCTCCCTCCCTCTCTCTTCCCCTCTCTTTCTCTTTCTCACTCTCTGTGTCTCTCTCCCTCTCTCCTTCTCTCACTCCCTCTTTCTCCCTCTCCTCTTCCCTCTCTCCCTCCCTCCCTCTCCCTCTTTCTCTGTCTCCTCCTCCCTCCCTCTCTCTTCCCCCCTTTGTCTCCCTCACTCTCTCCCCCTCTCCTTCTCTCACTCCCTCTTTCTCTCTCTCCTCTTCCCTCCCTCTCCCACTTTCTCTTTCTCCTCCCTCTCTCTCTTCCCCCCCTCTCTCTGTGTCTCTCTCCCCCTCTCCTCTCACTCCCTCTTTCTCTTTCTCTCCTTCCCTCCCTCTTTCCCTCCCTCCCTCTTTTTCTTGCTCTGTCTCCTCCTCCCTCCCTCTCTCCCCCTCTCTTTCTCTCTCTGTCTCTTTCTGTCTCTCTCCCCCTCTCCTTCTCTCTCCATCTCTTTCTCTCTCTCTCCTCTTCCCTCCCTCTCCCTCTCTTTCTTTGTCTCCTCCTCCCTCCCTCTCTCTTCCCCTCTTTCTCTCTCTCTGTCTCCCTCACTCTGTGTCTCTCTCCGCCTCTCCTTCTTTCACTTTCTCTTTCTCTCTCTCTCCTCTTCCATCCTTCCCTCCCTCTCCCTCTCTCTGTCTCCTCCTCCTCTCTCTCCCCCCCTCTCTTTCTCTCTCTCTCCCTCTCCTTCTCCCTCTTTCTCTCTGTGATAAGCTAGTTGCATCCAGGCTGAGAAAAAATCCTGTCCTAAATATTTAGCTTATCAGTCTCTCTGTGGTAGGTAAAGCCAAGGGTCTTGACCAAGAGAATGGGAAGAATTTGAAAACCGGGAAGGAACGAGGAATTAGTTTTCTGTTTTAACCCACCATTTCCCGACAAGTAGAACAATTAACCCCTGGCACAGCTTCCCTCCAGAAGGAGTGGGTGCTCCATCCCTGGAGGTCTTCAAGAAGAGCCCTGGAGAGCCCTTTGTCTTGAGCAGGGGGTTGGACTAGAAGACCTCCCGGGTCCCTTCCAACACCATTATTCTGTTTTCTGGAGTAAGCCTTCACTCGATGTTCTCCAAAGCACCGGAGGGCAGAACAAGAAACTCATCCAGGAGAGAAGCAAGCTAGGATGAAGGAAGAATTTCCTAACAGGGAGAACAATTAACCAGTGGAACAACCTGCCCCCAGAAGTTGTGGATGCTCCTACACTGGAGGTTTTCAAGAAGAGACTGGACAGCCATTTGTCTGGAATGGTGTAGGGTTTCCTGCTTGAGCAGGGGGTTGGACTAGATGACCTCATAGGTCCTTTCCAAAGTCTTTTATTCTGTTCTCTCTTGGTTTTGACTGTCTTCTGTGTTTTCCAGCAGGGGAGAATCTCAGCCCGAGGTGGGACCCGAGTTCCGGTTTTGCCATGAAAAAAGTCCGTTACCGTTTGGCAGAGATACACGATTTTACTTCGGAGGAGGTCCAGCAGCTGCTTCACAACAAATTTGTGGTTGTGATAGGAGACTCTAGTAAGCATGGCTAGGAACTGGGGGCTGAAAAGGATATCGCCAAAGATTGGGTGTAATCCTCGCCTTACAACCGTCAGTTTAGCGACCGTTCAAAGTTAGAACGGAACTGAAAAAAGGGACATGACCAGCTTTCACACTTATGACCCTGGCAGCATCCCCATGATCATGGGATCAAGATTGGCCACTGACTCATATTTATGACGGTCACAGTGTGCCAGGGGTCACGTGATATCCCTTTTTTTGATCTTCTGACGAGCAAAGTAAACAGGGAAACCAGGTTTGCTTAACGACCGTGTTCCTAGTCAAACACCTGCGGGGATTCACTTAACAACGGTGGCCAGGAAAGTCGTAAAATGGGACAAAACTCACTGAAGAAATGTCTCACTTAGCAACAGAAATTTGTCGTCGTAAGTTGAGGACTACCTCTATTTATGACAGTGGCAGCATCCCCGGGGGTCACGTGATCCCCTTTGACGACCTTCTGACAAGCTACATCAATGGGGAAAGCCAGATTCCGTTAACAATCATGTGACTAACTTTTACAACTGCAGTGATTCACTTAACAACGGTGGCAAGCAAGGCTCCAAAATGGGGCCAAACTCAGTCAACCTCCCGTCTCGTTCGAAACGGGAATTTTGGGCTGTGCAAAAAGGTCATCGGTCCCTTTTTTTTCCCCAGTGTCGTTGTAACTTTGAACGGTTGCTAAATGAACTGTCGTAAGTCGAGGACTACCTGTGTAGGCTCGAGCAATCAATCTGAGTTGTGAGGTCGTAAAATGGGGCAAAACCCGCTTAACAACTGCCTCACTTAGCAACGGAAATGTGGGGCTCGATTTGTGGTCGTAAGTCGAGGACTACCTGTAGTTTTATATAAATAAATATATTTTACATTTATAATTATAGCAAATTACAGTGGCCCATCGCTACATCCTGAGGTAAATTGTGAGGTAAATCGCAGAACAGCCTGCAGAGCACACAGAAGTTTTAAAAAAGGCGGGGAAAAAGGGAACCTCCCCCTTCTCGCCCAGCAACCAATCACAACGTAGATTCCCTCATGCAGGCGCCCGCACTCTCCAATCAATCAACAGTAATTGTGTCTTCTGGTCCATTGTACTCTTTACTGCTCTGGCTATTAAATTAAATATCTTAATAGTTTTTCACATTTATGACCGTTGCAGCATCCCCAGGGTCACGTGATCAAAATTCAGATGCTTGGCAACTGACTCGTATTTACGACGGTCGCCGTGTCCCAGGGGGTCACGTGATCATCATCTCTAACCTTCCCAGCTGGCTTCCGACAAGCCAGTCAGTGGGGAGAATTTGGATTTGTTTAACGACCGTGTGATGGACTTAAGAACTGCAGGGATGTGCTTAATAGCAGTGGCCCAACATGTCGTAAAACAGGGCTCCACTCGCTTTAAATCTGTCCTGCTTTGCGAGGGAAATTTGGGGCTTCACTGTGGTTCTAAAGTGAGGATGAACCGTATGGAAATTCCTCGATTTACCACCACAGTGGAGCCCAACATTTCCGTCGCTAAACAAGACCGTTGCTAAGTGAACGTTGTCCCATTTTACGACCTTCCTTTCCACAGTCATTAAGTGAATCGCTGCTGCTGTTGTTTAGTTAGCAACACGGTTGTTAAGCGAACCTGGCTTCCCAATTGACGTCGCAAAAGGGGATCATGTGACCTCAGGGCACAGCAACTGTCACGCCAGTTGCCAAGCATCTGAATTTAGATCACATGACCATGTGGGGATGCTGTTTAAGTGTGAAAAACGGCCCTAAGTCACTTTTTTCCCGTTGTAACTTTGAACGGTCACTAAACGAGCTGTCAAGGACGACCCGTACAGACCATGCAAATCTATTTCAGGAAAAGCGATTTTCTTTACTCCAGCGAGCAGATAAAGTCTCCATTTTGGAACAATTCGAGAGTGCGACATTTTCTTTCCCCCCTAGTTCCTCAGATGTGGTTGTGGAAACAGCGCAGAGACGGGTCATGCTGACCTGTCCTTCAACATGACGGACGTCAAAGTCCTATGTTCGCCCCATTGCATTTTGACAAGACCAGGCTGCATAGAATTTTGTGCAAAATAAAGCAGAATTGCCCTAAATTAGCCCTGCAACTTCTTCCTTGGCCTGGAAAAACAGCGGCAGCTGGAAGCTGAGAACGGGAGATTAAACAACCTTGAATCCTTCCAAATTCCAGCCCCAGCCTCACAAAATAAAACTGAGATAAAAATGACATAAAAAGCTACTGCCTCTAATCAAGTAATGTGAAGGGAAGAAATAAAAATAAAATAAAATAAAAAAGGGACCGTGTCTAATCAAGTAACGCGAAGAAATAAAATAAAATAAAAAAATAAAATAAAATGGTACTGCCCCTAATCAAGTAATGTGAAGTGAAGAAATAAAGTAAAAATAAAATAAAATAAAAAGGTACTGTCCCTAATCAGTAAAGTGAAGTGGAGAAATAAAATAAAATAATAAAATAAAATAAAATGGTACTGTCTTTAATCAAGTAATGTGAAGAAATAAAATAAAAATAAAATAAAATGGTACTGTCTTTAATCAAATAATGTGATGAAATAAAATAAAATAAAGAGGTACTGTCCCTAATCAAGTAATATGAAGTGAAGAAATAAAATAAAAATAAAATAAAATGTAGTGTCCCTAATCAAGTAAAGTGAAATAAAGAAATAAAATAAAATAAAAATGAAAAGGTACTATCCCTAATCCAATAAGGTGAAATAGAAATAAAATAAAAATAAAAAGGTACTGTCCCTAATCAAATGAAGTGAAGAAATAAAATAAAAATAAAATAAAATGTACTGTCTTTAATCAAGTAATATGAAGAAATAAAATAAAATAAAGAGGTACTGTCCCGAATCAAGTGAAGTGAAGAAATAAAATAAAAATAAAAAGGTACTGTTTTAATGAAGTAAAGTGAAGAAATAAAATTAAAATAAAATGTACTGTCCCTAATCAAGTAAAGTGAAATAAAGAAATAAAATAAAAATGAAAAGGTACTATCCCTAATCCAATAAGGTGAAATAAAGAAATAAAATAAAAATAAAAAGGTACTGTCCCTAATCAAATGAAGTGAAGAAATAAAATAAAATATAAAATAAAAAGGTACTGTTTTAATGAAGTAAAGTGAAGAAATAAAATAAAAATAAAATAAAAATGTACTGCCCCTAATCAAGTAAAGTGAAATAAAGAAATAAAATAAAATAAAAATGAAAGGTACTATCCCTAATCCAATAAGGTGAAATAAAGAAATAAAATAAAATAAAAATAAAAAGGCACTGTCTCTAATCAAGTAAAGGGAAGAAATAAAATAAAGATAAAATAAAAGGTACTGTCTCTAATCAAGTAAAGTGACGTGAAGGAATAAAATAAAAATGAAATAAAAAAAAGGTACTGTCTGCATCCAGATGTACAAACCTTGCATCGGGGTTTGGGTTTGTTTCTTTGCTTTTCCCACATGCAGACTATCGAGCGATATATACAGATCTGGTCTATCTTCTGCAGACGGATGAGATGCTGACGGAGGCCCAGCTGAGGAGAAAGGTACCCTGTCTGACCAAGGGCAAGGTGGGCTGTGGCTCAGGGCTGAAGGGAGGGGTGCCGGGTGCTCTCCGAGCTTTGGTGGACCCCTTAGGACCCAACTACGGAACATCATCAGTGCTGGAAGGGAGGGGGGCTTGCAGAGAGGGGGAGGGGGAGGACAACTGTGGAGTCCTTGATGCTCTCTGACCTCAGTTGTTTCCTTGCAGATGTTTCATGACCCAACTAGGGAACATCATCAGTGCTAAAAGGGAGTGGGGTGGTGGTGGTGATGGTGGTGGTGGTGGAGGAGGAGGAGGAGGACGACGACTGTGGGGTCCTTGGTGGTCTCTGAGCTTGCTGGTTTCCTTGCAGACGTTACATGACCCAACTAGGGAACATCATCAGTGCTAGAAGGGAGAGGAGTTTGCAGAGAGGAGGAGGGGGAGGGTGAGGAGGAGGAGAACTGTGGGGTCCTTGGTGCTCTCTGAGCTTGGTGGTTTTTTTGCAGATGTTTCATGACCCAACTAGGGAACATCATCAGTGCTAGAAGGGAGTGGGGTTTGCAGAGAGGAGGAGGAATGGGGGGGGGGAGCAGGAGGAGGAGGAACAGAAAGAGGAAGAGGGGGAGCAGGAGTAGGAAGAGGGCAACGACTGTGGGGTCCTTGGTTCTGAGTTCCATTGTTTTCTTGCAGATGTTTCATTACCCAACTAGGTCTCATCATCAGTGCTACAAGGAGATAGGATAACACTGATGAGGTGATCTAGTTGAAACGTCTGCAAAAAAAAAAAAAACAAACCCACCCAGCTCAGAGAACTTCAAGGACTTCACAATCCCCCTCCCTCTCTTCTTCTTCTTCTTCTTCTTCTTCTTCTTCTTCTTCTTCTTCTTCTTCTTCTTCTTCTTCTTCTTCTTCTTCTTCTTCTTCTTCTTCTTATTCTTCTTCTTCTTCTTCTTCATCTTCTTCTTCTTCTTCTTCTTCTTCTTCTTCTTCTTCTTCTTCTTCTCCTTCTCCTTCTCCTTCTCCTTCTTCTTCTTCTTCTTCTTCTTCTTCTTCCTCCTCCTCCTCCCCCTCCTCTCCACAAACCCCACTGCCTTCTAGCCCTGATGATGTTACCTAGTTGGCTAGTGAAACATCTGCAAACACCCCCCACCACCACCACCAAGCTCAGAGAACCGCCAGGACCCCACAGTTCAACCCCGGGCAACAACTATTTTCTCCTTTTGGTACACTGGATGTTGGTTAAATACCAAAGTGGTGTGTGTGTGTGTGTGTGTGTGTGTGCGCGCGCGCGCGCGCCCTGCTTCCCAATAGGCTGGGTCTGCTGGCCCTTCTGACTTCATGGCTCTATATTTGTATTTCCTGAGACTTCCTCGGAGTCTCTGGCCGTTCCAACGGTGCCGATCTTCCCTCGCAGGATAAGGAAACCTTTTTAAATGACTGCGAAGTGGAATTGAAGGAGTCTTCCCAAAACGATTACCGCCAGGTGCGCCAGTACCGCCGCCGACACCACCTGGTGCGCTTCTACTTCATCACCCGCGTTTATTCGCCGTACGTGGAGAAGATCCTGAATGACCTCAGGGCGGATCTGAAGGCGGATCTGGTCCCAGATGTTGTCATCCTGCATTCTTGCCTCTGGGACCTGAACAGGTAACCACACACCTGCCTGTTCAGTCCAACCACACACACACACACAGACAAACGGATCGGGTTGGTTTGCGGAGATGTGGATGCTTCTTTGATAACAGGGTTTTCTCTGATACAGGAAGTCCTTGACTTATGACCATAAATGAGCCCAGAATTTACGTCGCTAAAGCGAGAAATTGCTTCCGTCAGTTTTGTCCCATTTTTAGGACCCTTTCTGGCCAACGTTGTTAAGGGAATCGCTGCAGTGGTTAACTTAGTAACCCGGTCGTTAAGTGGATCTGGTTTCCCCCCTGGGCCTTGCTGGTCTCAGAAGATCACAAAAGGGGGGGATCACGTGACCCCGGGACCCTGCAACCGTCATAAATGCGAATTGGTGGTCAAGCGTACGAATGTTGATCAAGTGACCGTGGGCTTGCTGCAACGGTTGTGTGAAAAATGGTCATTTTTTTTCCAGTGCCGTTGTAACTTTGAACGGTCACTAAACAAGAAGGGTTTCCGGCTTGAGTAGGGGGTTGGACTAGAAGATCTCCAAGATCCCTCCCAACTCTCTTATTCTGTGATTCTTTGACCCTTGGGGGCAGTGCGAAAGGGTAAAATCTGTCCACATTTGCCCACTTTAAAAGCTAGGCATTTTAAGAAAATAGGAAGCTTTATGAGCAATTGTGACTTGCTCTGATTTATTCCTGGACAACACCAGAAGATCATGTTTGCACCCTTGAATGTGAGTGAGAAATTCAGATTTTTGAATTCAACTGTTTTTTTTTTTTTAAAGGAAAAATAAAGGGTGAACGCTCTTCCCTCCCATTAGGAATAACTTAGTCTAAAGTGCAAAAGTCTTCCATAATTCACTTGGTATCCTTTCTGGAATAACAGAATAACACAACTGAAAGGGACTTTGGAGGTCTTCTAGTCCAACCCCCTGCTCAAGCAGGAGAACCTATACCAGGGGTAGGCAAACCTTAGCTCTTTTATGATGCGTGGACTTCAGCTCCCAGAATTCCTGAGCCAGCCATGCTGAGGGGAAAGGGAGAGGTTTCCATGCTGAGCCAGGCTGGCTCAGGAATTCTGGGAGTTGAAGTCCACGAGTCAGAAAGCGGCCTAGGCCAGAAGTAGGCAACCTTGGCTCTTTTATGACGTGTGGACTCCAACTCCCAGAATTCCTGAGCCAGCCATGCTGAGGGGAAAGAGAGGTTTCCATGCTGAGCCATGCTGGCTCAGGAATTCTGGGAGTTGAAGTCCACGAGTCATAAAGCGGCCTAGGCCAGAAGTAGGCAACCTTGGCTCTTTTATGACGTGTGGACTCCAACTCCCAGAATTCCTGAGCCAGCCATGCTGAGGAGAAAGAGAGGTTTCCATGCTGAGCCATGCTGGCTCAGGAATTCTGGGAGTTGAAGTCCACGAGTCATAAAGCGGCCTAGGCCAGGGGTATGCAACCTTGGCTCTTTTATGACGTGTGGACTTCAATTCCCAGAATTCCTGAGCCAGCCACACTGAGGGGAAAGGGAGAGGTTTCCAAGCTGAGCCAAGCTGGCTCAGGAATTCTGGGAGTTGAAGTCCAGAAGTCAGAAAGCAGCCTAGGCCAGGGGTAGGCAACCTTGGCTCTTTTATGACTCATGGACTTCAACTCCCAGAATTCCTGAGCCACCCATGCTGAGGGGACAGGGAAAGGTTTCCAAGCTGAGCCACGCTGGCTCAGGAATTCTGGGAGTTCATGAGTCCTAAAAGAGCCAAGCTCGCCTACCCCTGCCCTATACCATTCCAGATAAATGGTTGTTCGATCTCTTCTTTAAAAAAAAACTCCAGTGATGGAGCACCCACAACTTCTGGTGGCAAGCTGTTCCACTGGTTAACTCTTCTCACTGTCAGGAAGTTTCTCCTTAGTTCCAGGTTGCTTCTCTCCTTAATTAGTTTCCATCCGTTGCTTCTTGTCCTGCCTGGCTGAGGAATTCTGGGAGTTGAAGTCCACCAGTCATAAAAGGGCCAAGTTTGAAGACCCCTGAGCTGAACAAAGACGGCCCCTTTAAAGGAAAGGAAGCCAGGGACAATAAGAGATGCTTGTATTTTTATTACCTAGTAATCCACCCAGCAAAGCTGGCCCACTCTAGATAAGATAAAAGGGTAGAGAAATAGCTTACGATGGTCCCAATACTTTGGGGTGGTTCCCTAAGGAAGTGGGTGTGCCCGGGTATCTTAGGTGTTCCCCCCTTGGTGACTTGCTATGGCCCTGCAGGTAGCCAGCGATAAGGGGGGCATCTGCACGTGGACGCCTTCTACGCTTTCTCCAGATGCCTGGTCAACAAGCCCAGGGGAGGTTCCCTGCTTCAAAAAAAACCCGGTTACCCTACAATGCACCATTTCACCCCGTTACCGGTTACAGGCAGACAGGAGACTTTTAGTGAGTGATGGACGGACGGACGGACGGACAGACAGACAGAAAGACAGACACAGACAGATGATAGATAGATAGATAGATAGATAGATAGATAGATAGATAGATAGATAGATAGATAGATAGATAGATAGACAGATGATAGATAAATAGATAGATAGACAGATAGACAGCAGACAGACATGATAGATAGATAGATAGATAGATAGATAGATAGATAGATAGATAGATAGATAGATAGATGATAGATAGAATTGATGGAGACACAGATAGATAGATGATAGACAGACAACAGACAGATGATAGATTATAGATAGATAGATAGATAGATGCAGACAGCCATGATAGACAGACAGCAGATAGACAGATGATAGATGATAGATAGATAGATGATAGATAGATAGATGATAGATAGATAGATAGATAGATAGATAGATAGATAGATAGATAGATAGAGGCAGACAGTCATGATAGACAGACAGCAGATAGACAGATGATAGATGATAGATAGATAGATGATAGATAGATAGATAGAATAGATAGATAGACAGACAGACAGATAGATGATAGACAGATGATACAGACAGCAGACAGATATAGATAGATAGATAGATAGGTAGACAGATGATAGATAAAGATAGATGATAGACAGATAGACAGCAGACAGACATGATAGATAGATAGATAGATAGATAGATAGATAGATAGATAGATAGATAGATAGATGATAGATAGAATTGATGGAGACACAGATAGATAGATGATAGACAGACAACAGACAGATGATAGATGATAGATAGATAGATAGATAAATAGATAGATAGATAGATAGATAGATAGATAGATAGATAGAGGCAGACAGTCATGATAGACAGACAGCAGATAGACAGATGATAGATGATAGATAGATGATATAGATAGAAAAGATAGATAGAAAAGATAGATAGACAGACAGACAGATAGATGATAGACAGATGATACAGACAGCAGACAGATATAGATAGATAGATAGATAGATAGATAGATAGATAGATAGATAGACAGATAGACAGATGATAGATAAATAGATAGACAGATGATAGACAGATAGACAGCAGACAGACATGATAGATAGATAGATAGATAGATGATAGATAGATGATAGATAGAATTGATGGAGACACAGATAGATAGATGATAGACAGACAACAGACAGATGATAGATGATAGATAGATAGATAGATAGATAGATAGATAGATAGATAGATAGATAGAGGCAGACAGTCATGATAGACAGATAGACAGATGATAGATGATAGATAGATAGAATAGATAGATAGACAGACAGACAGATAGATGATAGACAGATGATACAGACAGCAGACAGATATAGATAGATACATAGATAGGATAGATAGATAGAAAGAATTGATAGACAGACAGATGATAGACAGACAGACATGATAGATGATAGATAGATAGATAGATAGATAGATAGATAGATAGAGATCGATGATAGAGAGAGATGGATAAATAGCTAGATGATAGATAGACAGATAAATGATATGTTTGTTAAGTGATTTTTGTCCCATTTTACGTCCTTCCTTGCCACCGTTGTCTGCAGCTGTTAACTTAGTAACACGGTCATAAAATGAATCCGGGCTTCCCTTCATTGACTTTGCTTGCCAGAAGGTTGCAAAAGGGGATCACGTGACCCCCCTGGGGCATGGCGACCATCATCAATCCGAGTCAGTTGCTCAGCGTCTGAATTTGGATCACATGACCCCGGGGGTGTTGCAACGGTTGTTAAGTGTGAAAAGCGGTCGTAATCCGGCACATTTTTTCAGTGTCGTCGTAACTTCGAACGGCTGCTAAATGAACCGTCGTAAGTCGAAGACTACCAGTATTTCTTCGTGAGCATTATCCTGGTTCTCCCTTCCATGCAGATATCACGATAAGTTTCCCACGGAGCCCCCGATGCCCAAAGCCATCCGAGAATACCGCCAGAACACGGAGAAGCTCTTTCAAGCGGTGGACGAAGTTCTTCCTTCCAGCACTCTCGTCATTTGGAACACGGCCTTGGCCATCACGGAAGACGCCCGGGGATACATCTTTGAGGTGAGAGGACCTGTTGCATCCTTGGGGTGACCAAGACAGATCCCATAGATCAGGGCTTTTCAACCAGCAGTACGGGTACCACCTGTGGTACATTGGCACCTGGCAGGTGGTACGCGGCCATCCTAGAAAAGGGGTAGCAGGGGAGGGGAATGGGCTGAACCGGTGGCAGCACCGCACAAGCCTGAACGAGAGACGGCTGGAGGTGCAGGTGTCAGAATCCAATTATATTTCGTCTTTAATCATCAAATATAGAAAACCCCAATTCTGCCTTCTCTAGATTCTGCCATAAGAGGGAGAGAAGGGGGAGAACAAAGGGGCTTTATGGCCCTCACTTCCTTCAGTATACTTCTAAGGAATTGAATGTGTTTATTGCAACCTCAAAGAGTTTGAATGTAGTTAGCACCAAAAGGTCTTATCATAACAAAGGGGGCTATTTACCTTTCATGTAGTTTATCTGAAGTCTCCATCCAGACGGGAAGGAAAAAAGGGGTGGAATTGTGATGCCTGAAACTGTCACTGGAAGAGGAGGGTGATTGGGTGGGACTACTGGGGAACCCCTTAAAACCTCGAATGGGAGAGCTTGAACCCCAAGTCCTGTCTAGAACGCCTGCAACCATTTTCTCTTAATAAAGGATCCCTGTTGGAAGAATTATTCCAAGAGTTCTGTCTTCTTAAGATGCAAAGTGGGGTGGGTCCTTACAGCAGGGTTGTCAGGGCTCAGCAGAAGCCCCAGGATCAGTGCCTCTTTCCAGCTGATTGGCGCTTCTTCGGGGCTGTCAGGGCTCAGCGGAAGCCCCAGGATCAGCGCCAGGCTCCAGCTGGACCTCAGCGCTGATCCTGGGGCTTCTGCTGAGCCCAGAAGAAGCGCCGATCAGCTGGAATGTTGCAGCCTCTCCAGGATCTTGTGATTTACATTCAGCTGCTTGGCCACTGATTCATATTTATGACGGTCCCAGTGTCCCAGGGTCATGTGAAGGGAGCAAAACCTGCTGCAACCACCCAGCAGACGGGGGGAATAAAAATCAAACACCCCCCACCCCACCCCTGCTACCAATCCCCAACAGAAATGCTCACAACAATGAAAACCTTGGACAGGAGGAAGAGCGCCTCCGGGCGGGCAGGCAGGTGTCTTGCTTGGCTGTGCCTTGGGGGGCACTTTTTTCAGTGCCATTGTAACTTCGAATAGTCACTAAGCGAACTGTTGTAAGTCGAGGACTACCTGTACTTTATCGCTTTTTTCCTTTTTTGGGGGGGGTCATCAAGTTTTTGACCCCTTGCTAGGCGACTGGCGGTCCTGGGATGTTGCCCTATCCTAAAAGTGGCACAATGGGTGAAAAAGGTTGAACGGCCCTGCCATAGAGAAGCCAAGTGACGTCTCCTGCAAGGACGTGGTGCTCCATGTATCAGGGGTCTTCACACAACACAAAGCAAGGGGAGAAGCGACCTAGAATTGAGGAGGAATTTCCTGACCGTGGAGGACAATCGATCAGTGGCCTGGCTTCCCTCCAGAAGTTGTGGGTGCTTCATCTCTGGAGGTTTTTTAAGGAGAGATTGGACCACCGTTTGCTTGGAATGGCGTAGGGTCTCCTGCTTGAGTAGGGGGTTGGACTGGATGACCTCCGAGGTCCCTTCCAACTCTTGTCATTCTGTTTTATTTCCCGACCGTGGAGGACAATCGAGCAGTGGTCTGGCTTCCCTCCAGAAGTTGTAGGTGCTTCATCTCTGGAGGTTTTTTTTGTTTGTTTGTTTCATTTTTTATTTTTTTCTATTAAAAGTTTTTAAAATTTTACAATAAAAACCCCTTCCTCAATCCCTCCCAACCCACCCCAAAACCCTCCCCCATTCTTCCCAGAGCTGAATACAGGCTTAACTAGAACTTAAAAGAAAAAAAGTTTTAAGCCCAAATAAACCTTGAGCAAATATAATTACACTCAATAAACAAGTTGTAAAATACTTTAACTCCATTATATATAAAAAACAAAAAGAGGGGGGAAAAAAAGGGAAGATAAAAAAATAAAAAAAAAAATAAAAAATGAAAGAATAATAATAATTACACTTCTAGATAATATCTTAAACTTTAAATATAAATTATTCAAAAGCTAGATAATATTTTCTTATATCATACTTATGTTGTATAAAATTTATCCATCTTTTCCACACCAAGAGATACTTCTCTTGCGATTGATCTTTCAAGAAAGCCATTTCCGCTAAGTAAGAAACTTTAAGAAACCACTCTTGCAAAGTAGGCAAAGATTCCTTCTTCCAATATTGCCCTATTAACAACCTAGCCGCAGTAATTAAATTTAACATTAAGATAATCTCTTTGTCATCGCAATCCGGAACAATACCCAATAAAAACAATTGTGGAGTAAATTTTATCCTGACATGGTAGCAGTGTTTCTCAACCTTGACCATTTTAAGGCCTGTGGACTTCAACTCCCAGAATTCCACAGCCAGCAACGCTGGCTGTGGAATTCTGGGAGTTGAAGTCCACAGGCCTTAAAATGGTCAAGGTTGAGAAACACTGTGGTAGAGGGTGACTCCCCTTTTGGTGATCTTCTGATGGGGTCAGGGGACCCCCTTTTGCACAACTTCTGACACCGCAAGGTTGTCCAATGGGGCAAAACTGCACTGAACAATCGTCTCACTTAGCAAGGGAAAGTTTGGGCTGAATCGTGGTCGTAAGACGAGGACTACCCGTATAAGGGGGAGGCCTTTACTTCTGCCTCCGGGCGTAAACACATGCCGAGGCCTCTGAGGCAGGCTGGTGGTGAGAGTCTCCGGGAGATAAGGGTGTCATGGCAACTGGGGAGGGGGGGGCTGAATCTTTAGCCCCTGGGAAAGTCGGAGCTTATCAAAGGAAGAAGAGCTGAGCGTTGTCTTTCGACTCGACTGGGGCTGAATGGTGTAGTAGGAGGTTCAACCCCCACGGTCCCCAATCTAGCACCTGTTCTTTCTTTCTTTCTTTCTTTCTTTCTTTCTTTCTTTCTTTCTTTCTTTCTTTCTTTCTTCCTTCCTTCCTTTCTTTCTCTTTCTTTCTCTTTCTTTTCCTTCCTTCCTTCCTCCTTCCCTTCCTTCCTTTCCTTCCTTCTCTTTCACTCTTTCTTTCTTCTTTATTTTTTTCTTTCTCTCCCTTTCTTTCTTTCTTTCTTTCTTTCTTTCTTTTTCTTCCTTCTCTCTTTTCCTTCCTTCCTTCCTTCCATGCCTCCCTACTTCTCTTTCACTTTTTCTTCCTCCAATCTCTTTCCCCTTAGTTCCTTCTTTTGTTCTTTCTTTTCCATCCTTCTCTTTCACTTTTCCTTCCTTCCTTCCGTCAATGCCTCCCTTCTTCTCTTTCACTTTTTCTTCCTCCAATCTTTCCCCTTCCTTTCTTCTTTCACTCTTTCTTTCTTTCACTTTCTTTCTTCTTTTCTTTCTCTCCCTTTCTTTCTTTTCCTTCCTTCTCTTTTCCTTCCTTCCTTCAATGCCTCCCTCCTTCTCTTTCACTTTCTTCCTCCAATCTCTTTCCCCTTCCTTCGTTTTCTTTCTTTTCTTTTCTTTTTCTTCCTTCTCTTTTACTTTTCCTTCCTTCCTTCCTTCAATGCCTCCCTTCTTCTCTTTCACTTTTTCTTCCTCCAATCTTTTTCCCCTTCCTTCCTTCCTTCCTTCCTTCCTTCCTTCCTTCCTTCCTTCCTTCCTTCCTTCCTTCCTTCCTTCCTTCCTTCCTTCCTTCCTCTTTCTTTCTTTCTTTCTTTCTTTCTTTCTTTCTTTCTTTCTTTCTTTCTTTCTTTCTTTCTTTTTTTCTTTCTCTCCTTGTTCAATCACCCCCTTTTTTGGGGTGACCTTGTGAGGTTTTGCCCTGTCTAACCAACCATCCGGTCCAGCTTCACACCCATCCATAAAATACAGCTTTCTAAAACTCGGTGACACACTCAGGGCCTTATCGAGTTCAAAAACTTCACTGCCACCGCTGGAAATGGACAACTCGTCCTTGGCTTAACGACCATCCGTGTGTCCGACAGTGTGCCAGACAGTTAAGCGAGTTTTTCCCCATATTACGGCTTTCCATGCCACAGCCGTTAAATAAATCCCTGCAGTTGTTAAGTGAGCAACATTGTTGTTCAGGGATTCCCCATTGACTCGGCTCGTCCGACGGACACAAAGGGGGAAAAGACACTGCAAACCGTCATAAATGTGAGTCAGTCCCCCCAGCGTCCGAATTTTGATCACGTGACCGCGGGGGAGGCTGCACCCGTTGTAAAGTGCGAACGATGCTCCTCAGTCCCTTTTCCCGGTGCCCTTGTAACCCTGAACGGTCAGTAAACGAACGGCCGTAAGTCGAGGGCTGCTTGTAACGTGAGGAATGCCTCCGTTTCGGGTTTTCCGGCAGCAACCGCACAAGGTGTCGGCCCGGGACATGATAGAGGCCAACTTCTACAGCGGCAACCTGGCCCGACAGTTCTGGTTCGACGTCGTGGACCTCCACTTCCACTTCCGGTTTCTGCAGGACCTCCATGCCACCGACGGCACCCACTGGAACCCCCGGGCCCACCGCCACCTGACCAAGGTCTTGCTCACCCACATGGCCGACGCCTGGCAGGTGGAGCTGCAGAAGAACAGGCCGCTGATGAGTGAGTGGGGGGCCGTTGGGAGGAGGGGGAGGGGGCAAAAGAGGGAGGGGGGTCAGAAAGCTGGGGCTCAAGTGCTGGGGGAGGCTTCTGGGGTTACAGCCCCCCCCCCCACGCCAGCCAGGATGCAGAGACAGGCTGTGAAGGATGATGGAGAATAATGGCTGGGGGGGGGGAGATGAACTGGATTGAGGGGTCTGATGCTTAGAGAGAGGGACTGTGGGGAGAAGGAAAGGAGGGGGTCAACCCTTCCCTCCCTTCTTTCTTTGCCCCTTCTCCTTCCCCTACCTTCTTCTTTCTTTCTTTCTTTCGCTCCCTTCTTTCTTTTTCTTTATTTCTCTCCCCCTTCCTTCCTTCCCTCCTTTCTTTCTTTCTTTCTTTCCTTCTTTTTCTTTCTCCCCTTCCTTCCTTCCCTCCCTCCTCTTTCCTTTCTCTCCCTCCTTCCTTCCTTCCCTCCCTCCTCTTTCCTTTCTCTCCCTCCTTCCTTCCTTCCCTCCCTCCTTTCTTTCCTTTCTCTCCCTCCCTCCCTCCTTCCCTCCCTTTTCTTTCTTTCTCTCCCCCTTCCTTCCTTCCCTCCCTTTCTTTCCTTTCTTTCTCTCCTTCCTTCCCTCCCTTTTCCTTCTTTTTCTCTCCTTCCTTCCTTCCCTCCCTTTCTTTCCTTTCTTTCTCTCCTTCCTTCTCTCCCTTTTCCTTCTTTTTCTCTCCTTCCTTTCCTTTTTTTCTTTCTCTCCTTCCCTCCCTCCCTTTTTTTTGTTTCTTTCCCCCTTCCTTCCTTCCTTCCCTCCTTCCTTTCCTTTCTTTCTCTCCCCCTTCCTTCCTTCCCTCCTTTTTTTCTCTCCCCCTTCCTTCCTTCCTTCCCTCCCTTTCTTTCCTTTCTTTCTCTCTCCTCCTTCCTTTCCTTTTTTTCTTTCTCTCCTTCCCTCCCTCCCTTTTCTTTCTTTTTTCTTTCCCCCTTCCTTCCTTCCTTCCTTCCTTTCTCTCCCTTCCTTCCTTCCTTCCTTCCTTCCCTCCCTCCTTTCTTTCTCTCCCTCCCTCCTTTGTTCCTTCCCTCTTCCTTCCCTCTTCCTTCCTTCCTTCCCTTCCCCAACCCCAATATGACCCCCCACCCCATCCCTTGGACCCCCAGGCCAGCTGGCAGAGCCAGGTCTTTAAGCTCTTGCAGAAGGTCAGGAAGGTTGAAGCTGACCTCACTTCCGGGGTGTGTCTGTGTGAGGTGTTCCAAAGGGCAGATGCAATCCTGATCCTTCAGCGATGCTGAGGGGCGGGGGGGGGGGCCTCCACGGTGTCTGTTCTAGCTGCAGCACTTCCCCCAAACGGACCGCAGGAGCTGCAACCAGCCCGTCCTTCTGCCGCAGAGGGGGCACCATGGCTCAGTGGTTAAAGACGCTTAGCTTGCCAGCTGGAAAGCCAATGGTTCTGAGTTCGAGACCCAGGTGCCGTGTGACGGGGTGAGCTCCCGTTCCTTGGCTCAGCTCCCAGCAGTTCGAAAGCCAGCAAACGCCAGCGGATAAATAGGTACCACGTTGGTGGAAAGGGAAGAGCGCTGCGTGCGCCTCGGCGTAGACAGGTAGTCCTCAACTTACAGCCACAACTGAGCCGCAAAATTGACGTTGCTAAGCGAAAAAAAAAAATCTGTTAAGGTCGTTTTGCCCCACTCGACTTCATTTGTTACAGGGATCCCCGCCGTTCTTCCATTAGTCACCCGGTCGTTAAGTGAATCCGGATTCCCCCATGGACTTTGCTCAACAGAAGGTCGCAAAAGGGGATCGCGTGACACCCCCCCAAACCCCACTCCCTGGGACCGTCCTAAATAGGAGCCGATTGTCAATCATCCGAATCACGTGAACCTGGGGATGCTGCAAGGGTCATAAGGGTCATCAGTGCCGTTGTAACTTTGAACGGTCACTAAATGAACTGTCGTAAGTCGAGGACTACCTATATTTATGCTGGCCACATGACTAAGAAGTGTCTTTAATGCTGGCTCCTTCAGCCAAGAAACCGAGAGGAGCGCTGCCCCCTAGAGGCGGACACGGACAGGACAGGGGAAATCTTGATCGGGACCTTCTGGTGTTGGAACAGGAGCTTCCTCAGTATCCGTCTGTCTTCTTCATTGCAGGCATTCCAAAGTTGGCAAAGACCCAGACTCAACAGCCTTCTCCCTGGAGGAACGTGGAGTCCAACGCTCCACGGCCGATCCCCAGCCTCTGGACCAACGGCTTGGCCCGTGACCCCTTCTATTTCAAGAGGTCTTCTCACCTCCATCGTCATGCCCACTACAAAAAGAGGCTCAGAGCAAGGTCGGGTCAAGTGGACCAGTTCCCTGGAAGCCTCCCCAGCGGACTTTACCACGAACACAACCCCTTGCCCTCTGTGGGTCTCCCCGACCCCAGGAATTCTCCCCCTGGCTTGGACAGCAGGCCCATAAGTTCCTTTGAACGCCCTCAACCCATTCCAGAATATTATCCTCCTGCCCCAGAACATGGGGGCTACGACAGGTGGCCCGTAGGTTCTTCTGAACAAGAGCATCCCCCTCAACCCGATCCAAATTTTAATCCTCACGCCCCATGTCGCGCTGGCCGTGATAGTTGGCCCATACCTTCCTTTGAAGAAGAACAGTGCTTTCCACGCCACGACGGTGGTCATTCTCACAACCCATTTCATGCTGGCTGTGATGCTACACCCATTATTGGTCAGGACCATTATCCTCAACCCAATGCAGGTTATTCTTGGGTCCCAGATAGTATTGGGGGTGATAGCAGACCCATATGTTTTTTAGAGCCGAGTCCCCAATTCTATCCCTGTCCTTACGTTCATCCCTTCCAAGATGGTAGGCCCACCGCTACGTGTGAGTCAAGATTCCATCCCAAGAGTCCCCCTCATTTCCCACAAGATGTGGGTGATGCCAACAGGCCCACTATTGTCGAAGAGGAGCTGTATCTCCAGCCCTCTCCCCATAATTATTTCCAGGCCACCCATGGACCTGACGATGACAGTTGGGTCATGGGTTTGCCCGAGCAGGCCCAGTGGCCCCCACCTCATCCTAGGAGAGACCTCCCTGTCCATCACAATGTTAGGAACGGCCCTTGGTCCAGAGATGGAAATGAAGGAGACCAGAGTTTTCCACTCCAAATGGAAGGTACATTCCTGGTTTTCTGCCAATTATTTCAGGGTGGGGAGAAGCTGACCCCAAGTTTTGAGCTGGAAGTAAGTTAGAAGCAAAGTTCTAGAGAAGTATGAGTTGGGCGTTGTAGCAAAGTTCTAGAGAAATATGAGTTGTATCTCCGAAATGGTGTTCCTCAACCTTGGCCACTTGAAGCTGAGTGGACTTCAACTCTAGGAGAAGCACAAGCACAAGATAGGTGGACTTTAATTCCTAGGAGAAGCAGAAACACAAGATGGGTGGACTTCAACTCCTAGGAGAAGCAGAAACACAAGATGGGTGGACTTCAACTCCTAGGAGAAGGACAAGCACAGGATGGGTGGACTTCAACTCCTAGGAGAAGCAGAAACACAAGATGGGTGGACTTCAGCTCCTAGGAGAAGAAGAAACACAAGATGGATGGACTTCAACTCCTGGGAGAAGCACAAGCACAAGATGGATGGACTTCAGCTCCTAGGAGAAGAAGAAACACAAGATGGATGGACTTCAACTCCTGGGAGAAGCACAAGCACAAGATAGGTGGACTTCAACTCCTAGGAGAAGGACAAGCACAGGATGGGTGGACTTCAATTCCTGGGAGAAGCACAAGCATATGATGGGTGGACTTCAACTCCTAGGAGAAGCAGAAACACAAGATGGGTGGACTTCAACTCCTAGGAGAAGCAGAAACACAAGATGGGTGGACTTCAACTCCTAGGAGAAGCAGAAACACAAGATGGGTGGACTTCAACTCCTAGGAGAAGCAGAAACACAAGATGGGTGGACTTCAACTCCTAGGAAAAGCAGAAACACAAGATGGGTGGACTTCAACTCCTAGGAGAATCGCAAGCACAGGATGGGTGGACTTCAACTCCTAGGAGAAGCAGAAACACAAGATGGGTGGACTTCAACTCCTAGGAGAAGCAGAAGCACAGGATGGGTGGACTTCAACTCCTAGGAGAAGCACAAGCTAGAAGATCACTCCCACGAAAGATGGTGGCTATGGACAAGAAGCTGAAAGTTCTTGGGGAAGAGATGGCTGGGAGGAAGGCAAACTCTTGATAAGAGCTGAAGAATTGGCAGAATTGAGCCCCGTGAACACCAGGGTGCTCCCTTTTAGTGGCTTCTGGATGGAGAAATGCACAAAACCCTTAATGGAAGAACCTCAGTGAGTGCCTTACCTTAAATCTAAACATCTTGGAATTATGGGTGTGAATTCCTGGATCCTGGAGAAGACTTCTTGAAGGCGGACGGCTTGATCTCCATTCGGCTAAAATGCTGCCAGGGATCCTTGACGCGAGACTTAAAGCCACGTGCAGCTTTCTGATCAAGGACAATATGATTGATGACTAGGTTTGTTAAGCACGGCTAGCTAGGGAATTCTGGGGGTTGAAGTCCACCCATCTTTAATGTGCCCAGGCTGAGAAACACTGGTAGGCAAGAAAGACTGCAAGCCTGGCTGGGGAATTCTGGGAGTTGAAGTCCACCCATATTCCAATTGCCAAGGTCAGGGGTAGGCAGCCTTGGCTCTTTTATGACTCGTGGACTTCAACTCCCAGAATTCCTGAGCCAGCTATGCTGAGGGAAAGGGGGAGTTTCCAAGCTGAGCCATGCTGGCTCAGGAATTCTGGGAGTTGAAGTCCACCAGTCATAAAGAGGCCTAAGCCAGAAGTAGGCAACCTTGGCTCTTTTATGACTCGTGGACTTCAACTCCCAGAATTCCTGACCTAGCCACGCTGAGGGGAAAGGGAGAGGCTTCCAAGCTGAGCCATACTGGCTGAGGAATTCTGGGAGTTGGTCCACGAGTCATAAAAATGCCAAGGTTGCCTACTCTGGCCTGGGCCGCTTTATGACTCATGGACTTCAACTCCCAGAATTCCTGAGCCAGCATGGGGGAACTATGGCCCCCTCATGACTCGTGGACTTCAACTCCCAGAATTCCTGAGGCAGCATGGCTCAGCTTGGAAACCTCTCCCTTTCCCCTCAGCATGGCTGGCTCAGGAATTCTGGGAGTTGAAGTCCACGGGTCATAAAAGAGCCAAGGTTGCCTACCCCTGGCTAAGGTTGAGACAAGAGAGATGCAAGGCTGGCTGGGGAATTCTGGGAGCTGAAGTCTATTCAGCTTGCTCAGGTTGAGAAGTTCTGCTCTGAAAGTAAGAGGCAGGAAGAAGAAGCCTCGAGAAGAAGACTTTTGAGGAGAAACCCATCTGGTTTGCAAGTGGGAATGACCCAAATGAGCCACTCCTAGATGTTAAGGAAGGTGCCTTGCCCTGATCCTTGCCTCACCCATGCCCAGCTGCCTTCTGGGCAAGTGGGCTGGGGCAGGCAATGGACTTCCGCTTGCGACATGTTGGCTGCTTTCCTCCTTGAGTGGATGCTTGGATGGGAAACAGTTCATCGGAAGTCTTCCAGACAATCAAAGGATCAGAGCTGACCAAGCTCCATCCTCACCTCCAAGGTACCAGCATACGTAGGTGTCTAGCTTTGATATCTTCTGTGAGGTGCTGGGTGCTCTCTGAGCCTGGTGGTTTTCTTGCAGATGTTTCATGACCCAACTATTTAACATGATCAGTGCTAGAAGGGAGGGGGGTTTTGAGAGAGGAGGAGGGTGAGGAAAAGGACTGTGGGGTCCTGGATGCTCTCTGAGCTTGGTGGTTTCCTTGCAGACGTTTCATCACCCAACTAGGGAACGTCATCAGTGCTAGAAGGGGGAGGGGTTTGTGGAGAGGAAGAGGAGGAGGAGGAAGAGGACAACGATGACTGTGGGGTCCTTGGTGCTCTCTGAACTGGGTGTTTTTCTTGCAGATGTTTCATGACCCAACTAGGTAACATTATCAGTGCTAGGAGGGACTGGGATTTTCAGAGAAGAAGAGGAGGAGGAGGAGGAGGAGGAGGACGACAGTGGGGTCTTTGACGCTCTCTGAGCTGGGTGGTTTTCTTGCAGACGTTTTATTATCCAACTAGGTAACATCATCAGTGCTAGAAGGGAGTGGGGTTTACAAGGAAGAGGAGCAAGGACTGTAGGGTCCCTGGCGCTCTCTGAGCTTGGTGGTTTTCTTGAAGACATTTCACTACCCAACGAGGTAACATCATCAGTGCTTGAAGGGAGTGGAGTTTGGCAAGAGGAGGAGGAGGATGTCGACGAAGACGACTATGGGGTCCTTAATGCTCTCTGAGTCTGGTTTCAGATGGTTCATTACCAAACTAGCTAACACCATCAGACTTTGGTGTCTGCTTCTCTTCCTAAGGTCTCTTCTTGCTTTCCAACAGACATTCATCCCAACGGCTTCTTCGGGCCGGGCTCCTTTACTCGTGAGGAAGGCTGGGCTCCTTACAGCCTGCCCCGTAGAAGACCTCGAAGCGCGTGGCTCGGGTCCCGGAAGATGCTTTCAAGGCGCCCTCGATAAGCCCACCATCGACGCCACGCCTGCGCCCCTTATGGCACCAGCCGGAAAAACTCCAGGGACTCTTTTTAGTCTGGCGCCCATCCCACCCCAGGGCCGTTCCTGATTTTTTCTCTCTGCTGCAATTCCATCTTTGCTCACTGTAGAAATGACAATTTGGAGTTCAAGGTCCTGTTCAGGATTTCTTTTTTTTTTTCTTTTTCTTTTAATACAAATTTTATTTATAATACAGTGAAAAACAAACCAACATTGGGTTTAACGTGACATTCCAGGATATACATTCTTACCAGATTATTCCGCTTTTTACCATCAATTCTTCATCTCTACATATCCATCTAAGTTTTATATACAATACTTGTTCTAAAGCAGGGGTTCTCAACCTGTGGGTCGGGACCCCATTTGGGGTCGAACGACCATTTCACGGGGGTCGCCAAACCACGCAGTCCGCCATTTCCCCCCCCTTTTCCTACTCCCTTTTATTCTATTGGCTTTTGAAAGCCAATAGAATAGACTCTCTTGAATAGAGTCTCATTCTATTGGCTTTCAAAAGCCAATAGGAATTGTCCAGGCTGTCTCTGCCCTGCTGAGCCCGCCAAAAGTCCCCTTCTGCAAACGGTGCTGCACCGTTGAGTAGTCTTCGACTTACGACCGGTTGAGTAGTCGTCGACTTACAACCGGTTGGGGGTTGCGGCATTAAAAAGGTTGAGAACCACTGTTCTAAAATAATATATATTTCTATCTTAACATTCCTCTTTAATCCCGACCGTCCTCTTCAAATTCCTCCAGCGGTAAAATTTATCCCAGGTTTCATAATAAACTGATCCACATTTGTCTTTTAATATCATTATGAGCCTGTCCATTTCCGCACATGCTAATCTTTTATGTATTAACTCTTCCTCTGTGGGAATTTCCTTGCTCTTCCACTTTTGCGCAAAAGCGAGCCTAGCTGCAGTCAGGATGTGTAGCAGCAGGCAGATTGTTCCCTTGTCGTATTTTTCTGTCGTTATTCCCAACGAGGAGAGTTCAGGTTTTAACTCGTAACTCCAATGTTAATATATCCTGCTTGGGATTTCTGATGCTTTCGAACCTGGCCACGTTTAAGATCTGTGGACTACAACTCCCAGAATTCCCCTGCCAGCATGGGGTATTCCGGGAGCGGAAGGCCACACATCTGAAAATGGCCGAGTTTGAAAAACACTCCTAGCAAACAAGGGGTGTGTGTGTCCAACCTGGGCAACTTTAAAACTTGTTGACTTCCAACTCCCAGAATTCTCCGGCCAGCTTTAAAACTTGTGGACTTCTACTCCCTAGGCTGCATTAACAGGGACATAATCAAGATCACGTGAAGGGTTAATACCACTTTACAAGGCCTTAGTAAGGCCACACCTGGACTACGGCATCCAGTTTTGGTCACCACCATGTAAAAAAGATGCTGAGACTCTAGAAAGAGTCCAGAGAAGAGCAACAAAGATGATCAGGGGACCGGAGGCTAAAACATATAAGGAATGGTTGTTGGAATTGGAGATGTCTAGTTTAATGAAGAGAAGGACGAGGGGGAACAGGATAGCAGCCTTCCAGTATCTCAGGGGCTGCCCCAAAGAAGAGGGAGTCAAGCTCTTCTCCAGAGCGCCTGAAGGCAGGACAAGAAGCAACGGATGGAAACTCATCAAGGAGAGAAGCAACCTAGAACTAAGGAGAAACTTCCTGACAGTGAGAACAATTCACCAGTGGAACCACCTGCCTCCAGAAGCGGTGAATGCTCCAACACTGGAAGTTTTTAAGAAGAGACTGGACAGCCATTTGCCTGAAATGGTATGGGGTTTCCTGCCTGAGCAGGGGGTTGGACTAGATGACCTCCAAGGTCCCTTCCAACTCTTGTTATTCCGGGCTTTGTTCCTGTGTGAAATTCAGAAAGGAAATTTGCCCTCCCTGTGGATTTATTGAGGGATCTGGTGTCTTCCTTACCCTGAGGGGGACTTCCTGTTCTTTGGTGAAGTCAGTGAGATTCAAGAAAGGGGGTGGGGGTGGGGAGCAGATCAAAGGCCTTGTAACTTCCACAAGGAGATCTTAGATGCCTGGTTGAGGACTTTTTAGAACCAGGTGGAAAATCTGCAATTCTGCTAGCTGTCTGATGCTCCTGGATCTTTGCTGAGCCGCCATGTCTCCTAGAGCCCATGATTCAAGGACATTCAGTACGTCAGGAAAATTAGATTGCAACCCCCACCCCCTGCTCCCAAAAGCTGCTAAATTCAAAAAGTCCACAGCTGCCTCCTTATCAAATGTACTTTCTGTTTAGACTGCGGTTGAACCTCCGTTTTCCTCCCCCCCCAACTGTGCATCAGATATCTGAGTTACACCAATTGTTTCCACTTGGATGAAGTTGTAATTGCAAATGGAAAAAAAGGGGGGAAAATGGAAAATCAGAAATTCACAAAAACGTCTGCCTTTTCATTAAACGCATTAGAAAAAAAAATTGTGTTATTGTAAGGAGTTTGTCTGATTTTTATTATTATTATTATTATTATTATTTTGCTATTTGACTTCTGACATTGTTAGGAAGTTATCACTCCAGCGATTTCTCCAAGAGAGAGAAACAGTTTTGGAAAAATCAGAACTTTTTCGCTCCCTCAATATTTAATAGTCAGGATACAAGAAGTCATTGGCTTACAACTCTATGCAACAGAGACAAAGTCCGTGTGTGGCCTAATCACACTTGGCCAATAAAATGTTTTTATTCCAGGGGTTCTCGACCTTGGCAACTTTAAGACTTGTGGACTTCAATTCCCAGAATTCCTCAGCCAGCTGTGCTGGCTGAGGAATTCTGGGAGTTGAAGTCCACAAGTCTTAAAGTTGCCAAGGTCGAGAACTATTCGTTTAGCGACCGAAGTTACAATGGCACTAAAAAAAAGTGACATGACCATTTCTCACACTTTCGACTGTTGCAGCATTCCTCCCCCCCCATGGTCACGTGACCAAAATTTGGGGGCTTGGCAACTGACTCACATTTATGACGGTGGCGGTGTCCCCAGTCACGTGATCGATCCCCTTTTGTGACCTCCTGACAAGCCAAGTCAATGGGGAAGCCGGATCCACTTAACGGCCGCGTTACTAACTTTATCAACAGCGGTGATTCACTTAACAACATAGGCAAGAGGTCATAAAAGGGGGCAAAATTCACCTGTCTCACTTTGTAGTGTCAAGGTTGTAAGTCAAGGGCTACCTGTGTTTCAAGAGGTCGATCCTCTCCTGCTACTGCCACCCCCCCCCCCCCACATATTTATTTATAACATTTATTACAGTGGTTCTCAACCTGTGGGTCGGGACCCCATTTGGGGTCGAACGACCATTTCACGGGGGTCGCCAAACAACGCAGTCCGCCATTTTTTCCCCCTTTTCCTTAGCTGTGCTACTCCCTTTTATTCTATTGGCTTTTGAAAGCCAATAGAATAGACTCTCTTGAATAGAGTCTCATTCTATTGGCTTTCAAAAGCCAATAGGAATTGTCCAGGCTGTCTCTGCCCTGCTGAGCCTGCCAAAAGTCCCATTCTGCAAAAGGTGCTGCACCGGTTGAGTAGTCCTTGACTTACGACCGGTTGAGTAGTCCTCGACTTACAACCGGTTGGGGGTTGCGGCATTAAAAAGGTTGAGAACCACTGCTTTATTATATTACATCATATAAAGCACCACTGATGCCTCCAGCACCATCTCTTTTCCCCACAACAAGGCAGGCAGTTCCGAGAGGGAATGGCTGAGCAGAAGTCACCCCGAAGCAGGACTAGAACTCGCGTCTCCCAGTCTCTCGTCCAGCCCTTCACAGCTGCAGCAAAGCAGCGTGTGTGAACTGGACCGGGGGATTTTGCTTCATCGGGAGGATGCGAACTATCCCCGATTCTGCCCTAGGAGAGGCTGATTTCAGTGTCGGGCGATAGGGGGCGCTGCGGAAGACAGCAGATGAGGGAACCTTTTCTTACGGCTATCGGCCAGCAGGGGGCGCGGCGGGCGTTGGCGAGCGAAGTTAGGCGCGCGTTGCAGTTCACGGAGTTTTAGAGCAGTGTTTCTCAGCCTTGACAATTTTAAGGCATGCGGACTTCAACTCCCAGAATTCCACAGCCAGCAATTGCTGGCTGTGGAATTCTGGGAGTTGAAGTCCACATGCCTTAAAATTGTCAAGGTTGAGAAACACTGTTTTAGAGGCATCCGGCGAAGAGAAGCGGGCGGAGGAAGTTCCGGGATCTCTCCGTGGGGATTTTTCCACGCGGGGCTTTCGCGCTTCTGGCCCCTGCTCATTCCTTTATTTCAGAGGCGTTCCGGGGAGGCTCTGGAGGTCTCCCCACAAAGCTTCCGGCGGACTGGATCTGTCTGTCTGTCTACCTACCTACCTCTATCTCCATCCGCCCACCCACCCAGCTAATCAATCTGTCTCCATCCATCCACCCTATCTACCTACCTATCTACCCACCCACCTCCCTCCCTCTATCCACCCACCCACCCAATCAGTCCGTATGTCTCCATCCACCCACCCACCCACCGACCCACCCAGCTAATCAATCTGTCTGCCTCTGTCCATCCACCCTATCTATCTACTTACCTACCTAATGTGCCTATCTACCCACCCACCTACCTATCTCTATCTCCATTCACCCACCCAGCTAATCAGTCTGTCTATCTATATCCAGCCATTATTCCACCCTATCTACCTACCTATCTAATCTACCTATCTACCCACCCATCTACCTACAAACCTCTATCTCCACCCACCCACCCAGCTAATCAATCAGACTCTGTCTCTATCTCCATCCATCCATCCATCCTATCTATTTACTACTTACCTATCTAATCTACCTATCTACCCACCCACCTACCTACATCTCCACCCACCCACCCAATCAGTCTCCACCCATCCACCCAGCTAATCAATCTGTCTCTCCATCCATCCACCCTATCTACCTACCTACCTAATCTAATCTACCTACCTCTCTCCATTCACCCACCCACCCGGTCTATCTGTCTCCATCCATCCACCCACCCATCCAGCTAATCAATCTGTCTGTCTGTCTATATCCATCCATCCAGCCACCCTATCTACTTACCTACCTAACGTACCTATCTGCCCACCCACCTACCTATCTCTATCTCCATTCACCTACCCAGCTAATCAGTCTTATATCCATCCATTCATCCACCCTATCTACCTACCTACTTACCTATCTATACCTATCTACCCACCCACCTACCTACCTACCTCTA